CCTTGGAGCATGGACTCAGAGTGCCCTGTCAACTGCGGGTTAATACCCTGCTGCACAGTCCCCTTTCTATTTACTCTCAAAGGAGATTTTTTAATCCCCCAGCTGTCAGTTTGTGTGAGAGCGACTCCTGAAGTCATTGGCTGATTTTTTTATGGTACCTGAGGGATGAGATGAAATGGAAGCACTTGCGCTCCTTGAGTCCCAAAACATAAACAGCAGGCATGTGAATCCAACACACCAAATATAGAGCTGCAGGGGCCACAAAAATGTGGAGTAGAAACTTTTAACTTCATAATTGATCAGATTGAAAGTGCCCCTGCAAAGTCATATGGAAGTTTATTGTGATGGATTCCCCCAGATGCCACCTGGAACTGGGGTACCACTGAGCCCTCTGACCCACTAGCCTGGTCTCCCTCTCACACTGTGCTGCTGTGACAAGCTGCAGACACGCTCCCGGTCTTAGACCTCCACCAGCAAACACACAGGTAAGGACACACCCAGCTGCAGTTACATGCAGGCTCTGACCAGCCACTGCATGTGAACCAATGATAGAGAGGCTACAGCCAAAATAACTCCCAGCTCCCCAGCCTAGGACCCCAGAGTGGTACTGTGCTATCTTGGTCCAAACCCCAAACAGTATGAATTTATTATCCAGTTCACCTCCCACCCGCTCAATGTGGAGAGGAAATGCAACAGCCTCTGCCCCTTGAGCTAAGATTTCCAGGCACTTCACTCCAAACTCACTGGTTTAGATTAAAACAAAACACGTTTATTAACTACAAAAGATAGATTTTAAGTGACTATAAGTGATAGCAAACAGATCAAAGCAGATTACCTAGTAAACAAACAAAAAATGCAAACTAAGCGTAATATACTAGATAGACTGGATATGAATAGCAGATTCTCACCCTTAGAGATGATACAAGCAGACTTGCAGATTCTTAAGGCACAGTGGCCAGTCTGCCAGGCAGGGATGCCATAGCTCAGGCTTGGGTGGCCTCACCACTGCCACATCCTGGGTTTATTAGCCCTTCCATACCAGCAACTTGTTTTCTGACTATCAGTCACCTTTTCCTGCTACCTGCCTCTCTGCTATGTCCTCTGCACATCAGTCTTTTAGTGATTTTCAATTCTTTGCAGACTGGGCAGAAACTCTGCTCCCCCATAACTGAGTGCAGCTCTGATTGAGCAATTCAAATAATAAAGAGGCTCCTAATTAATTATATTTAACCCTTTCTTTAAACAGTGGAGAGCAACAGATTAAACCAGTGCAGTGACCCCTAAGGGGAAGCTATACTATCTGGCTAAGACATCAGTCCAAACTTATCTTTCCCTCTATTTATTTTTACTTTCACAGGGCTCTGGCATTTGAGCCCCTGGCTTAACGAGGTCCTTTCAGCTGAGGGTGACCCCCTCATTTGGGACAGATTAAGCACAGTCCTGCTTCCCTTTATTCATACAATAATTACAACAACATTGGTAACAGCATTTCACTACCTCTGCATTCAGTACTGCAGTGATTTGTAACCCAACACCAGCCAAAGTTGACTGTTTTGAGCAACAACACCCGCACTATCTGCTAGATATCTAAGCAGAGGAGGTGTGTTCATGTAAATACAGTTTGCTCCTGAAGTCTCTCCCCCTCCCAGGTAGCTGTCAGGGCATGGGGAAAATACATTCAGTTCATTCAGATCCTGCTTACATACACATGGGGAGCTGAGACACAGAGAAATTAAGTGAGTTGTGCAAGGCACACAGGAAGTGTGCAGTAGACCCAGGAATAGAGTGTAGCTCAGCCATGTCCCAGGCTAGTGCTTTACCCACAAGACTATCAAGCTTCATGTAGTGAAAAAGGGGCTTTGTTATACCAAAGCATCCCCACAATGACCTCTCTAGATGTCTATAGAACATTACAAAATGTACTTGTTCATTGTTCTTCCTGCCTGTTGCCAATAAAGTTGTTTCAAGACTAGCTCTGTGTGCAACTGCAGGAGCTCCTCTGACCACCCCAGAAAGCCTAAGAATGCCACTTCTACAATGGTGTGGTATATTGTTACCAGATGTGCCTGTTACTTTGGGGTATGCTCATTTATTCGGGTTATTCTTCTGGGGGGGAGGGGGTTCTGTAATTCTATTAATGTACTGCTTGTGTCACTTGAGTGTTCGTATGGAGCTCTACTCCTCCCTTCTGCAAGTCCCCTCCCAATGGAGCTATCCTGCAGAACCCAGGTTCCCGAGGGCTGCGTTCCTCCAGCCCCAGAATCAGTCAGTCAGTCAGTCTCTCTCTCTGAGTAGATCAGGTCAATCAGCACTCTCAATCTGACCCCTTATATGCCCCTGGTCTCAATAGGCTGGGCCAAGCAG